CAACTCTTTTTTCTTTCCATTTGCTTTTATCTGTTCTGCTTAGCACAGCTGATCGTGAACTGTTAAACCTGCTTAAAATTTGAAATGTAAAAATTTAAAAGTTAAAATGGATCCCACCACTCATCTGTAGACTTCCCCTCAGATTAATGTAAAGAATCATGACCCCATAAGATCACAGGTCTGTATTAGAGATTTAATAGTTACACAGCTTTGGTACAGTAGAAATGCATACTCATAATTTCATGAAACGTTAACATAAAAATTAAAAAAGTGATGGACAAGCCATACTCCCACTTGTTTATGCAGGACAATAAATAAAAATCCCTTAGGCTCAGCTCTTTTTGCTCTTTCTTTACTTTTTCTTTTAGCATAGGATTTGTAACTACTTTAGAGTTAAAAAATTAGACAACCCATGCAAACCTGTACTGTACAAATTTTGGTTGCCGGATGCTGCAGTGCAGCGGACATAATTCCTGGGATGTATTTAGGCAAGAGAACAACCCCATCTTTCCTTTAAAATTATGTGTTAGCCAGACCAAGGCTGTGTGTAAGTGGATTCTTTCTTGGTTATTTAAGGACTTTATGCTAGCATGCTCTTTCCCTTCTACCTCCCACACAATGCTATGTCCACTTATTCAGGCAGTAAAAGTTGCATAATACATCTGAGCTGCCACTATTCTGTAACAAATGCAAAATAGGCCCTTGGAAATGTTAAAATTCAATTAAGTATGGTTCATTTAAAAAGTTGAGAACAGCACCCTAACCTGGTGCTGTTACTAACCCAGTTTAAAGCAGTTAAGAAAGGTCCTCAGTGATGCATGGAAGATTGTATTTGTGCATTTGGAAGCTGTGAGGGGCTTCAGGCATTGGTCATTGCTATGAGAAGAGGGAATAACTATTCATCTGTCAAAAGCTGGTGCATATGCTATAAAGTTCCATATAGATCATTATCTCCACCTCCTGTATAGGGGACAACTGTCTGCAGAAAAGCAACTGTGTGAGCCACCCTTAGTTTAGGATCTCAAAACATGTTTTTAGGAGGATTAAACATAGCTCATTTCTTGGTTAGACATTCAATCTTTGTTTGCAGCAAAAATCTCTTTGCTAGAGGATGTTTGGACACTGTCTTGCAACTGAGGATGTCTCATGCAGTCATGAGAATGTCCTAGAAATGTTTTGCAGAGATTGGTGTAGTGGAGCTTGGGCTGCTAACAGTTTCCTTTTATTGCATCTTGAAGCAGCTGAGATTCTTTGGTAGCATCTACAGCGTCTAGATCACAGAGCCTACCACAGTCAGTCAGTTTTGCTACTCTTCTGAAGCCTTCCTTTTCTAAAGTGTTCCAGATTTACTGGCTGTACATTCAGAAGAGTGGGAGGTGATACTTGCCTAACAATTTAAAGCGAATTTAAAATTTGCCCCCCAAAGTATAACAAATACCACCTAAGACCATTTTGAAGTGCAGTTAGAACTGCTCGACATGAAAGCTTACTAAGGAATACTTAATACTAAAAATCACAGACAGTCCTCTCGTATTGCCATTTAGATCTATCATTCTGATTGATCACTGTGTGTGTTGCTATTATTGAGCCTAATTTAACCCTATAGACTCGCACATCCATCTACTCCATCTATTGTACCTGACATTCTACAAATTACTTACTCATGCAAATGATGACCTAAGTCAACCTTTTATGCTATTCGTGTTTAATTATACAAATGGTATTTGATAAATAAGATTATACATCCTTCCATATGTTTATTCTCTCCTTGATGAAAGTGAAATTTAATTTTCATGCAGATTTGTTGGAGGCCATGTTGAATAAGTGCTGAGTTTCATATAGTGTGCAGATCACCCTGGTTTTGGGAAGCTGACAAAAACAAAATCAGTAGGCACACTTCTTGAAGAAGATAAGTTTTTAATCAGGCTCAGTTGGAGCCACTGGATCGTGGAATTCTAGATCTACAGTCCAGTTTCCATGTATGCTGATTGATCTATCAAAGTGAATGTTTTGGCAAAAGTAGGATGAATAATAGAAGAAGTGCTGGCATTTTAATTTTTTATATTAAGCAAAATGTGCTGTATGATCAATTGCATTAATACCATTAACAAACCTGTGCCATCTGAAAACCCATTCCCATCAGCCATGTCTCATTGGCTCAGTATAAATAAACAGAACCTCAGTAATATGCTCGTTCTATTAACTTAACAGTATATGTCACCTTGTCTATACAGCCAGTCCTATCTGCATATCAAGCCAGCATTGATGATCCATAATCCAGTGTTCCTCAAAGAGGTCATCCCTGGAGTTATGCTGCAGCCTCTGCCAATGCTTCCTCTGATAAAGGGGCCCAGGTGTAGGAATGGAGAAGGAGAGGATTCTGCTTTGCACTAGCTGATCTAGTGCATTGTGCGACTTGGAGGGCTTCATTACTAATGTCTCTTATAACTTTCCATGCTACCAAAACTGCCATTACACTTCCAGTTGAATGGATGCTTAACTGTGCCAGGGAGGCACCTGTACATGTAAATATCAAGAGCACTATGACAGCATGTGCTAGGATGTATGTCAGCTTAAAAGCCTGAGGAGCCAGATATTCACCACAATCATAACAGAAAGGAATATGCAATGGTTCTTTGGAAGAAATTCAGTATATCACATCTACAAGTATGCACCTGTGCCAGTCTTCAGCAAATCAGATATAAAAGGCACTTGTTCTTTTTATTGATGATGATGATGATAGACTTAAATGTTGCCTAATAAGCAGCATAGTCCTATTCATGTGTCTGCTGCAAAAATGCAGAACAAATAAAGATATAGGCACATCTTACCCAAAGCAAGGATGACAATTCTTTCTTGTAACAATATCTCTCTGCTAGTTTCCAGAGAGGTAGCTATGTTAACCTGTATTAGCAAAAGCAACACAGTGTTTTGTGGCACCTGAAAAGCTAACATGTTTATTATGGCTTAGGCTTTCATGGACTAGAGTCATTTAATTACATAAACTATTATCCTCAGTTGCAGGTGCATATGGATGGGCATGTGTGGTGTGGGATTATAAACAATAAGGTCAGGAGGAAATTAAATGCAAGTGTAAAAGACTATGATCTTACAGCTTGAATATATGAGAAAGAAGCACAGATTATTCATACCATTGATCAACTCAGGAAAACTTGGTTGGGCAGGAAAGCTTTGTTTGTTTATCTACTCAAATAGAAATGAAGTTCTTGATCAACTGTAATTCAGCTTTCACATTAGAACGTCCTTTTGAAAATACAGTAAATAAATCAATAAGCATATAAATAAGAATAAAATGATGGCCTACCAGTATGGTGGAATTCTCTCGGTTGCTGAGTATTGCTAATTCTGATGTCAGATTTGTGACCATTTATTCTTTTTTGTAGGCATTAACTTATTTTGTTTATGCAGTGTGTAGAAAGTCATTTCTGGCAGATTTCTGAAGCACAGTGTTTGTATCATTTGCAGAGATAACCATGAAGGGTTCTGAAATGGCACACAATTCCCCCCCCCTTATTTAATATGCATATTTTGATTTTATGAAATGTGTACAGCTTCCTAGAGACTGTGCATATGCTTAAGTAAAAGCAGATAAAATAAATATCCATTTGAAGTTGGCACCCCTATGCACCTATTCATATGTCAAAAATGAGATACATAAAGTCCTCAACTCACTGCATTATAAGAGGTGAGTGTTTATCCTTCCACTTTTGTAATATCTGTCAAAAAGGCACAGAAAACCTATTTCCCCATCCATTTCTATAAGGCAGGTAGATAATTTAAAAGAATGCATACATCAGTGAATATTAAAGCCTGTTCCAGTACAAAATATATCTGTGTAATAACCTCCTCCCGAAAGGAAGCAGCTACCTGACAGTGCCAAAACATATGTTATGTTAAAAGAAGCATTATCTGTCTGCCACTGCCAGCTATTAGCTGTATTAGACATCCCTTATTAAAGAAATATTAATAAACATGGAATATCCAATAGACATGTTTTTTTCTGAATAAGATGCAGCCTAAAATCCACAGATATAAGGACGAGATGCTAAGCAGCATCCATTGATTAGACATTTTGTGGTGGAGTAACAGTTTTTCAAATTCCCAAAGTTGCTCGTGGATCCAACAAGTTTGGGAACCTTTGCCCCAGGTAAGGTGGCTAACACACCTTTCCTGCTTCTGAAATAATGTTGCCTGAGCGGATCTGGAGCCAGAGTCGGCATCTAGGCCTCTTGCAGGGTCTGCTTCCTGTGCTTGTGTCCCTGTTATGTGATGAGTGCATGCTTGTGGTTGGGAGACAGTCTGTTAGTGAGGATCATCACCTCACCCTAGCAGGAAAGACTGTGGCCAGAAGACTTCTCTGCCTTCTTATTCTCTTTAAGCCAGGCTTGAACTAGACAGGCCTTTAGCAAAGGACACCCTCACATTGTAAAGTAGAACATGTGGCCATTGCATCTCTCCAGTACTAGGAAACGAGAGCCTACGTTTGACAGCTTTTTCCTGTTTACTAGTTGACTTGATTTGAGCCTGCTGTGCTTTGATCTTTTCAATCATATGTTTTGTTTGGACTACACAGCCGCAGAGATCCTAGAGTCATATTTTTATATTATTGTCATATGTATTTTTATGGAGCTTCCTGCTTAGCTTAGAGGTCTTAAATAGCTTCCTAGCTAAATAGAAAATGAAATTGCATTTGAAAATGAAATTATGACCAATCTTCTCTCGCCCACACACACAAAGCCTGGGATCCAAACCTGCACCAAACCAGTGCTGAATGGATGCCAAATGGGCAATGCCCTTTGGCAGTGCTTTTCAGGAACCACCCAAGGCCACTGTCCTGGACACCAAACCCTAAAGTAGGCTGCATAAGGTGGAAGGCCCACCTCCTCTGGTCCACAGGTGTCTATGTGGCCTCCCTCCACCCCCTGTTTTAGGGCTGATTTGACTCTCACAGCTTGAATGCTGTTATTTGTATATTTAAGGTTTGGTCAGTCAACTCTGCAGGCCGGACGGCTAGCAGCTGGACCCCTTGTAAGACAGGCCCAGCCCCTCCGCAAGGACTCCCTGCACCACGCTTTGGCACAGTGGCTTCTACTTCTGCTGTGGTGAGCATCAGTCCCCCGCTTAAGCCAAATGGAATAGTCAGTCTCTACAGGCTCTTCTCAAATAGTACCAAAGGAAAGGATGTAGTGGTGAGTACTCATCCATTTGTTTCTCCTTATGCTGATGATATATGTTTACTAGTTGATCTGATTTGTTCTGTTGTGCATCAATCTTTTTACTCATGCATTTTGGTTCGACTACACTGCTACAGAGCTCCTATAGTCTGGGTGCAGGTTTCTTCCCACTTGTGGGACTACTGCCTGAGCAGATGTGCTCAGAAAGCTCCCAGCAGTGAAAAGAGGTTGGAGAGGCATTTTTGCTGATCTCCTCCACTCTTCTAGAGGTCCTCCAACTCTCTAGAGGAACCTATTTGGTCCAGGGATTGCATGGGGAAGAAGAAATCCCCAGAGATCGCTTCCTCCCCCAATTCCATCAGCAAAAATGCTCCACTGGATTGGAAGCCTTCTGCAGTCATGAGAAACCGTACTCTTCACAAAAAGCTAAGCATGGGTTCCATCTTTATTTTTTTTCAGTCTTCACTGATTTAAAAAAAAAAAACCCTTCATTCCTTTATTTTACATACTTTATATTACAACCTTCAGCTTTCCTTGCTATTATTGCTGAATTCCAACAAACATTGTTTTAGGTATTAGCAATTCCATTATGTTCTGAGATCATGGGAATAACTTGAAAATAGAAAAAGAGTACAGTAAATAGATGTTTCATAGATGTACATTTTAAGTATATGTCTCAGGATTATAAGTAATATAACTTCATATTTTAGTATTTAGAATGCCATCAAATTTTTTCATATGCATTTCTTTCCTGAAAATGGAAGATGTTATCAATGTTTTGAAATAAAATACTGATTTTGGTTAACTAGACATGTATCAGACCTTTTCTTCATATGCTCCAGGAACATTGAAGATCTACTTTGGCTCCAACTTCTTGACAGATTTACTTTCTAGACAATTTGGATTCTCTCCCCTTAAAGCATCTCTGAGGCCTCTGTGGTCTTGCTCCCGTAAAGAAAGAAAAGAAAGTATTATGATGTACACTGTACAGAACGGGGTAATGAACTGGGAGTGTGTAGAGGGATAGAACCCTGGGTTGTAACATGTTACACTACAGGTAAACACTGAAAAAGAAAAGCAGGGAAGAGGTAACATAGCCTGTCAGACAGAAAGATTTTAGTTTCCAATATACTGTTTTGTGGTCCTTGCCATGATAAGGTAGATAATTCCATAATGCCACAGATTACTCCATGCCTCATAAAATCAAGAAATATACTGGGAGGGCTCTTGAAGGAAATCAAGTCTTGATGAAATACACTGAATTAGCAAAATAAAGATCATACTTTTCCAAATGTAAGATAAATAGACTGAGGGCCCAGCTTGCAGTGTGGATTCCTGCCATCAGTATAGAAACATAGAAACATAGAAAACAGAGCGAGTCAGAAGGGGTCTCCCGGGCCATCTAGTCTGACCTCTAAGGTATAAGGTAGAGGTGGGCAAAATGCAGCCTCTGGGCAGTATGGGGTCTTCACTGCCCTTCTGTTGGACCCCCACCAAACAGAAGGTAGCAGAGGCCACATATAGCTCATGGGGGTTGCAGGATGGCAGGGGAAAACAAGCAGTGGGTTTGCTGGACACTGGCAGCAAGATAGCAAGAAAACAGTTGCATTTAGATTTGTTTTAAAACTGAACAGGCCCTTTTAGTTATCAAAGTGGGGGCTGTGGTCACAAGTCAGGAGCAGGTGATCCAGATCCAAAGGGTCTGGACAGGCTGTGGAAGTGGATGGGGGACAACATGGTGGCATCCAAAGTGGATAAGTGCAAGGTCTTGCACTTGGGACACAGGAAGAGGTGTCACAGGTACAGGATGAGGGACAAGTGGCTGGAGAGCAGCACTTGTGAAAAGGATCTTGGGGGTCTTGTCGACAGCAGGCTAAACATGAGCCAGCAGTGTGATGGTTAAGAAGCAAACCCCATCCTTGGATTTATAGCCAGAAACATGGCTTCCAGATCTAGGGATATTGATATTGTGCTGATCCTGCTCTACACAACTCTGGTGTGCCCACAGCTGGAGTACTGCATCTAGTTCTGGGCTCCACTTTATAGGAGAGACATAGCTAGGTTAGAATCAGTTTGGCACAGTCACACGAATGGTAGCCAGGTTGGGAGGGATGATATATGAAGAGAGATCGATGGAACTGGGTCTTTTTTCCTGGGAAAGAGGAGATTCTGAGGGGATCTTTTAGTAACTTATAGGTATGTGAGGGGATGTCATGTGGAGGAGGGACGTGACCTGTTCTTCTCTGCAATGAAGCAAAGTTCTGAATCAGCGCAGAAGTGCCCCAAGTCCTGCCTTGCTTAGTTTACTGAAGACTTCCTAACCTTGCCTAATATATAATAATATGCCTAACCTTGTATTAATAAAAGATGGAATATCATACAATAATACATAATTATTATTACAGTTATTGTTACTATTCTCTTCATTGTCATTCTCTTTAAAAAGACCCAGAGCTACTTACAGCAAAACAAAATTATTAAAATGAATAAAAGATAAAATACTTAAAAACAATTTCCAATACAATCTAAAACATAATAAAACAACCAGAGCAAAAGCACTGTTCATCATATGCCTTCAAATGCCTGGGAATAAATTGTCGCTGATAATAACAGTAAATTGATGATGATGGTTTGTTTTTAGATTTTCATCCTGTTTTTTTCTCACAAAGAACTCAGAGCAACTTACATAATTCTCCTCCTGCTGCTCTCAGTCTTATCCCCACAACAAGAGGTATGAGAGTCTGTGACTGGCCTGGAGTCACCCAGTTGGCTTCATGGCCGAATGCAGACTAGAACCCAGGTTGCCTGAGTCCCAGTCCTGCACATTTAACAACTACACCACACTGGCTCTCATGTTTGAGCCACTGAGGAAAGAGTTCCACAGTTGGGCTGTTCCACAGTCATGGGATCACCACTAAAAATGCTGTCTCCTTCAAATATTGATAACAGTGGGCAGGTTTACACAACAAGACAAACCACAGTGGTTGCTTGCGGAAGATGGTCTGTAGGGTCATCTGAATCCTGTCATAGCATTCAGCATCATATATTTGGTTTTTAGAATCCATAAGAAATAGCAGTCTTTTCTATGGCTTCTATGAGTCCCCATCATTTTCCTGTTCATCCAAACCTGGTAGTGTTGTTTTCATGGTCCTGGAATGCAGTTGCAATATTTTCCTTGAAAAAGTGGCAACTGCAGGAGCTGTTCCAGCCAATCCAAGCATTGGACTGAATTTCAAGCACAGTGGCTGATGGGATATGTGCCAAAAAAGGCTGGAACCATGCTAGTATAGAAACCATTTAATCTCCTGACAGGTACATCCAGCCAAGAATCTGCATATTAATTAATAAAAGCTTTCCCTCACCCATATCTCAGGATGGTAATACAATAATAGCATATGATGAGTTTCCTTGCCCTGACATGTGAACCCAGCCAGTGTGTGTGGAAGTTCGTACCTGGAGAGGAGCTTTGTCAGGTGTGGTAGTCTTACTCTTTGTTAGCCTACTATTCATGGACTACTTACTTAACCTGCATTTCTGTTTCCTCCAAGCAGCTGTCAGAAGGAACTGCCACCCAGCAAACAATCCATGGTCTGAAGCCTTTTACCACCTATTCCGTCGGGGTGGAGGCCTGCACTTGCTTCAACTGCTGCAGCAAAGGCCCCATGGCACAAGTCACTACTCAGCCAGCTCCCCCTGCAGAACAGCCTCCTCCCCACGTCCACAGCATGTCGTCACGGGTTGCTTCTTTTCAGTGGGATGCGCCTCAGGAACCCAATGGCATTGTGGGGAGGTAAGAAAGGGAATATAGTTAGTGTGGATGCTAAAATCTATGTCAGCTAGAATATATAATTGATTTTAAAAGAGCTGTCTTCCATTATCTAGACAACCTTAATGACCATCCAAGGCATCAATAACTGGGAAGTGTCTCAAGGATTTTTTGCATCAATATTTTTAGCAGCATGTATAAAAAGAAGGGGGATGGGATTTTTCAAGACTACCTGATTCACACAATGCCCTTTTATGTCCAAGGCTGCCTTGGTTGGAGATGTTGGCCCAGTCAAACAGAGTGCATGAATAGCCTTGTAAAGGACACCAGAATCCTAGCAATGAAGTGTTCAGTGGAGAGAAGGCACAACTGAATCCAATTTATGTCCACATGCAAGCAACTCAATAACAAGTTTTATTTGGCATGGTATCAAATATTTGCAAACAGCCATGGCTGTTCGTTTGAGCTGGAGTTTGTGTATACATAGCACATGTTTGTTCATCTGTAGATTGCCAGCTAGATAAGTATCAACAATGGCCTTTTGTCCTTGGCATCTACATCAGATGGCATATAGTTTAGAAATCATTACCATCACAGTGATCAAAACATTTAAACTAGTAAATAGCAAATGTTTTCAGTGTTTTGTGGATGCCATCAAGCTTGGTTTTTCTTAAACAAATGAGGAACAAGTATCATTGTAGGATATTAATTATATGCTCTTTTGGTACTAACTGTCTTGGAAAGATCCCAGGAATGTAAGAACTAAGTGCTTAGAAATGTGTTCTGAATGTGTAGTGATTTGAAATACATTTTTCAGATTTATGACATATTAGTGTGCAACCATTTTGATTCTTGACAATACGATACTGGTGCTTATGAAATAATGAGATTGTTGTTTGTTCCTAGCTGCCTGAAAGATAGCACTGTTGTACTTCATTCCAATACTGGCATTTAGTTGTATATAATCATCTGTGGGCATTTTATTAAGAACGTAAGGAAAGCTGGGCTAGACAGGCCAAAGGTGCATCTAAGACAGCATCTGTTTGTATGGTAACCCTACACGGTTTCCTTCAGGTAACCAACCATGGGAAGTAGGACACGAGTACAATAGCTCATGTTCCGCAGTACCTAGCATTGTCCCGCATTCAAATACTATGCATCCTGTATAGAATTCTGCAGTAATTATAGGTGCAATTCTACCCATGTTTAGACAGAAAGAAGACCTATAACTCCCTCATGCCCCAGCCATGCTGTCTGGGGGCTGCTGGGCATTGTAGGACTCTTTTTTTCTGTCTAAACCTGCATAGGATTGTGCCTTCAGTTGACCAACATCCAAACTTGGTTGGAATGGTAAGCATCTGCTTCCCACCACTGTGCTACTCACCAGTGCCACCATTTTCCCTTCAGATATGAACTCCACATGTACGCTTCCTGTCCTGCTCATGTACAGCCAATAGAAAGGACTTGTAAAGCTGGCCCAGTTGAAGTGAGATATGCAGGGAATGGTCAGCATTCCAATGTCAGTGATCTACAGCCTTATACAACCTACAAGCTGAGAGTGGTGTCCTACAATTCAGCAGGCAGCACTGCTTCAGAATGGATCAGCTTTACCACACAAAAGGAAGGTAAGTGTGCAGGAGAACATTCTGTCCAAGTAATTTAGGAGTGTATGACCAATGCATTCTGACCTCTGGTTTCTACCACCTCCAGAAGTAGTCCCATTCTGACTGGGCTCCATGTAGAGGACTGAGCAATCCTAACATTGTTCCAGAAGGGCACCAAATAAGTTTTGATGTTACTATCCCCTGACAGCTGTTAAAAGACTCAAGTGAGCTTTCCTCACAAAACAGGGTTGATCCATATGCACACACTGTAGATCTTTATGTTGTGAGCCGCCCCGAGGCTTCGGCGAATGGGGCGGCATAGAAATGTTTTAATTAATAAATAAATAAATAAATAAATAAATAAATCTATCTATCTTCAGGATTTTGACTGTCCCCCTGTAGATTCCAGCACCTTCCATTTTTCCACTCATTCTTGAGGCTTTAGGTGTATGAGAAAGTAGAAAAGTGCAGCCCACCACCTTTTTGCTGACATTTGCGTTTGGCAGCTGTCAATCATTGGGCTTTATTTTGAAAGCTCGGATTCAGGCAGGAGAAAACAGAATGATTCAGAAAGGGATGTACATAGATTTAATATTTGTTATACATCCCTAATCTAGGCATAAGCCTTAGGTATATGAAAATTCCATTTAATAGTTTCTATGAAATGTTTCTATTTTGTATAAAACTTAATATTCCTTACTATTAATCTGGTTCCAAAGCATCTGTATCAATGCAATGACACAATGTCACATTTGAAATTCATGCCATAGTTTTATCATGTAATTATAAGATGGTTCCTTAGCATTTAGTGGAATATTTTTGCTTTCTTGATATGAATGTCTTTGAGTGTAGACACAAACTGTATCTAATATGCAGGATAAATTCTATCTACACCTCCACACAATGGCCAAAGACCACAAGCCAAATAGCAAATAGGACGGAAGCCTTAGCAAATATAGGACATGACTCAGAAGCCCTTGAGAAGGGACTCTCCATAATTCATTGAAGCTATGCATTATGAAGATTGTAGGATTGAGTAACTGCTATGATTAACTAGATACAAGGGCAGAGAAAATCCCATCATTTTAGCAATTATTTAACAAGGAGCTTTGTTAGTCATCCACCATCTGAAGTCTTCCACTTTTTCTTATATAGCTGTTTTGTTACAACCTGATCCTCTAAGAACAGTTCCACTGGTGCTCTGGTGGGGTGCTCTCTTGCTTCACTGCTCTGTACACGTCCATCCCATTTCCTTTCTATACTCTGATACAGCCACAAAAATCACTAGTTCTTGGCAAAAGGACACCAGCACCATTCCCAGGTTCTGGTTCTCTTGTTACATCATTTTTAGACCAGTAGTTACTGTATGGAGGATTACCTAAGGAAGGTAACAGAAGGTAGCAGAGGCAAAGATGTTGGAGACTTTTATTTGGTCCACACTTTTAAATAATTAGGATGATTCAGAATGCCACTATCATTCAGCTTGCACACCATTCTGCATTTAGTAATGCAGTTTTCAGCTGAAAAAATGCATGCAAGAATTAGTATCTTCTTTTGGGGAAGGGGTGTTTAAAAATCCTAAAACAGAACAGAATGGTCTTATGATTTGCACAAATATGAAACTGACACAGACTGGAAATGTTCTGAGCCATCCATATCTAACAGGAAGTGGAGAGGGGACAATCCAACTATTTGTTTGTTCAAGTGGGAGTGATTTACCCTGACACCCCAAGAAAGTCCTGTACTAGTGTGCTATAGGCCAAAGGTATTGATAAGCACCCAAGAAACTATAATATTGCTACTTTGGTCAACTTGCCTTTGAAGACCATTATTTGGCGGAAGCTGTGTTTGGAGGGTTTCAATTACCTGGCCAAACATTCATGCCATCATATTTCAATATATTACAGTTTTCATGAACAGCTTAATTTTGTGTTAAAGTTACTAAAAATTAGTGAACTGAAAAACAGACTTCTCTGCAGCTTTACTACAATGGTTCGCAATGAAAGGTTGGCCTCCTAGGAGCCATCATTACAGGTCACACTGATTATATAGTCTAGTTAGTTAATTACTGTATTAATTTATTCAGCTTGTTAACTCCATCAGCTCCTCAGATCTGTGGTGTGAGCACTGTGCTTCTTTGTTTCTCTTTCCTTGATAGGTTCTGAAATGTAATTAAAAAACAAGTCGCTGGTTTACAGTCTTTCTTCTCTGCTTCAGTGCAAAGCCAAAATCATGACAAATTAATATGCCTGCCCCGTGTGCATGAACACACTTTCATCTAATATAGTATTTAGAGACCACATTTTATTGTATAGTAATGTATTACGCTGTTGATTGATTATCTGGAGCCATGAATTATACTATGTTAGATGGCTGTTAGTAAGCTTTCCATTTTATTTTTGAAAATGATGCTTTGAGGAGGAAAAGAGCAAGCATAAAAGCAAATAGAGGCCAAAAAGATTCACTACCCAAGACTTAGTGTTTGCTAACTGAGAAGCAGGAAAATCTCACTGTGTCTTTAGATTGCCCTTGATATGGATACTATATGAAAATTAGTTTCCTTGTTGGTGTATTATTGAAGAAAAATTATGGTATTGGGGTTGCTTAAATTTTGTCGCATTTACCAGAACACTCACAATTACAGCAATTGCAACTGAAATCTGGTTATAACTATATATTCCCCCTTTTCATCCAAGGAACGGAAGGAGCTTACAGGGTCCTCCTCCATTTGATCCTCATAACAATCCTATGACATAGATTAGCTTTGAGTTACTGGCTCACCCAGGGTCACCCAGTGCACTTCGTGGCTGACTGGGGACTAAACCAGGACCTTCCAAGTCCCTGTCCAACACTCACACCAATACACCACACTGACTGTTAACAGTTCCTCGGAAGCTGGGAGAATGGAGAGCCATGAGTGTACTTACTTCTTCCTTCTGCAAGTTCTGCATAACAGACTTATGTACACAGAGATGTGGGTGTAGTCTTATGGCCTGCAGACAAAGTGAAGATGGCCATGGGAGGACTTGGAGTGCCATTTGTGGTCTTGGAGAGATGCACCTGATCGGAACTGACACTCCGAATTTGGAGCATCTTCTGACCACCCTTACAGCAAGCACAGAGAGAACTATGCCAGCTGTGGCTCCAAGTTTGCAATGGAGACCTTGGCAATGGGTTTTTCTGGGCAGGGAGGAGACAGATTCTATCAGCATATGCAATACTTCTCAGTCAGCTCTTCCTCAGACTCCAGAATTAGACATCTAAGTGTTCTGCACAGGGGGAAGAATGTGGAAAGGCCTTTGCAAACCACAAATTTCTGGAAAGCTTAACATTCCAGTTTTGGGTTCAAATTTTAATCCATTTCTACTGCACTTAAGAATGCTGTGAAAGACTCAAGCAAAGAAAAACAATAAACAATTGGAACTGGCAGGCAGCTTGACAACAGCATCTGCTCTCTTGCCCACTTGCCCACTGGCTAGTGAGTGGACTAGTGAGAGAAGTGGCAATAAGAGAACCCAGGGGTGCTTGGCTTACCCATGTGTCTCCCATTATCAATCTGTCTGAGATCTCAGCAAGCAGAGAATTAACTGTAGATTAATGAAGACCCTGAACTACCTAGTCAGTCAAATCGTGAAGTTTAGCCTCAACTTCCATCAGCTAGGTGGGGACAGTGATCGACCTTCCTTTCATGGATCAGATCAGGACATGGGTAATGTGGCTCTATTGTGGAAAAGTTAAGGGCAGTTTGATAGGTAAGTGGCAAATAGAGCAGGCAGTATTTGGCAAGAGTCAGGGGAAAGCAAAGCAAAGCAAAGCAGATTTGGAAAGGAGATTCAAGAAAGTCAGAACCCACTCCTTGGATGGTTGGAAGCTCTAAGTGGAACTGATATAAGCCTCCCAGCAACCTCTTCCTGCTTCTTTTTATAGGAGTTTCTGGAAGATGAGTGTCAAAGAAAGCAAGGTAACTTGTAGCCTCAGGTGAGCTTGCATTCCAAGGAGATGCCATTATTCCTTACACAAGTGGTGTTGAAAGGATCATGGATGAATGTATATAGAAGGGTATTGAACATTCTGAAGCACCAGGTAAAAATGGTAGGCATTAGTATGTCCTCTTCTCCAATTACAGCAAACCCCATGCAGACAAATTGATTCTCTACAGAGGTGCCCTCATAATTTCTTTTCTTTCCATTGTCAAGTCAGAAAAAAGCCCTTGGTGCTTATATTGATGTGTTCAATCTCTAAAAGCAGAGGCATTTGTTCCCTATTTATAAATGGATTCCCTTTTCTGTTTTCTTTTGCCAGTACCTCAATACAAAGCTCCATTTACAGTTGTCAGCAATTTATCCACCATCTACCTTGACTGGAGTCACACCTTCGTACTGAACGGGCCACTAAAGGCATATGTGCTAATGGAGGGAGGACAACGCATCTACAGTGGCTTTGACACCACGCTCTATCTGCCAAGGACATCTGATAAAAGTCAGCTTGAGTTTCACAGTTCTCTGTTTTTAGTCAAGTGTCTCGTGTGTATTGAATGTTATGAGATGTATATTTATTTAGACAATGTATGCCCCACCTTTCAGTCAATTCAGCTCAAGGCTGTTTACAACAGATTCCATAATACAAAACACAAGAACAAACACCACACCTACACACATTGCTTGGCAACCATTAGTCCTTTGGGCCAATCGATTGTTGGACTAAAGCATTTGGTTTTGCAACAAGGGGTCAGGAAACTCCCCTACTATTGCTCCTTCCTTAGTCAATAGATGGGGTCAGGATGCACTTCCTTTTCCCCCAAAAATCTTCTTGAGAGGCATGGGTGTGACACTTCTCTTTACCCCTTGGGGGGGAAGTGGGCCTGGTTGGTCTTCCCCTTGCTTTTGAAAGCTAAAGAGGAATTATATGGGACCCCTATATCCACCTCTAATATCATGGGCCTTTCAAAGGTGTGGGGGCTCAGATGGATGTACCCCACCCCGCCTCATGAGTAATGAATCTTACAATGTTCAAGATTAGAGATGATGAAGAATAGGGGAAAGTGGTTGTTTTTCTAAATCTCCTGACCTGACCTCCCTCCCTCTCCCTCTCCCTCTCCCTCTCCCTCTCTCTGTTTCTATCATTTTAGATGTATATGTACCCAAACTCATTTAAAAATCTTAGCTGTCACCACATATTTGGATTTGGATATTCCAGTTGCCAGCAACATCTGATTAGACTCCTCTTATAAAAGACCAAAAGAAAGTGAGATGCTAATAGGAAGCTCTCAAACAGATTCAATAAATAAATAAGATCACCATTAGCTTATGTGGTGGAGAATTCTCATAGCACATGGCTAGTGATGGGCGAACTTGACCTAAAATGAATTGGTTGTTTCCTTATAGCTTGCAAATTCATTCAGATGAAACTCTCTTAGATGAGAGTTCTCCTTTAATTCAAGAATATAAATTAAAGGAGAGTTCTCCTTTAATTGCATTCTGTGTTTCTGAGTCTTTGCACATGCGCAATATCAAACTTTATCTTAGGAACTGTTGTTCAAATTCACATAATGCGCTATTTTATATCCACCTTACTGTTTCTACATGGCCTTTGTGTGTAACATTTATTTGTCATTGCCAATCAGTATATGGAGGTGAGAAATCAAAATGTGTATACAGAGGTGCATACGACCAGCGATTGGTCTGTGGATAGGGTTCAAGTACCAACATGTCCCCAAAGGATATGTGAAGCGTTAATGTAGTATCATCACATTTCTCTGGAAAGAAAAGGATAAAACCAACTAACTGAGCAGAACTCAGAAATGCATGAGTTTAAATGCAAAGTGGGCGCATCCTGGAACTCACTATCTATTCCAAAATGAATACGGAATTTGCAAGTCAAGAGTCCAAGCTCATTACAAAGACCAGCATTACAAACACACACATTTGGACCAACAAACCAAATAATTATGAAATTTGGCAGCATTGCTGTATGTGACCAGACAAGCATGGATGAAGTGTGAAATGACCCAAGGCACCAGTTTATAATTAAGAAGTGCAGAAGCAAGGACAGTGCTAGCTTCCCAAACTATGTGGAGCCATGTCCCTAGGTTGTCCTAAAAGGACGACAAATGCACAAAGTTCCATATGCTCTAAAGTGTGTGTGTGTGCCATCGAAGGGTATCATTTCCTGAGGACACCCCTGTTTATAAAAGGAAGTATATGGACAGATGAGAGGATAACTTCAGAAAATGAAACTCAAGCAGGAAGATCCAGGGGAGGTGGGCAGCAGGAGGTGAAGCATGTATGGACAAAAATCCAGCTAATCTAGAGGAATGAGACGCAGAGATCATAAGGATGCCTGCCCCTCCCTTTCAACAAGGCCCCACGGACAGCAGCATGCTGGGCAGATAGTCTACCAAAGATTTGGCATCCATATGGAAGATTCAGGGCTCCAACCCTAATGGGCAAGCCCACAACAATTTCTGTGTGAAGATGATGAAGACGGCATTGAATTTATTTAGAGAAAAAGTGGCGTTTTAATCTGAAAAGGAAGAATACTCTGAAAATAGCGAAAGGCATAACGAGAAAATGCAGCATACTGTACCTTAGGAGAGGAAGCCTAGTGCCTTTATCATCAGCAGAGTTGTATGAACACTTACATTTAATCCATTTCAAAATGGCAGCAACTCCATGTTTCTTCAGAACACCCACAAAGCAGGAAATCTACCCCAGTGTGGATGACATAAAGCACCCCTTTCTAGACACAGGCAGCCACTTTTGGACATGGGCCAGTCCACATCTGTTGCAGTTACAACATATGATATACTGACTGAACCACTGAACCCTAACCCCTCCCGGCAGCACAGTGGGAACGTCTCCAAAAGCACACTCAAAGCTTTTACCTGAATTGACATAACTAACAGGATTGTCCTGCCTCTTGGAAGCACACCTTAACATGATCAGGGAGTTTGAGAGTGTCAGAGAAGCCAAGAGCAATGCTCTCTCACTAGGCTGGTCTCCAAACAGGGTCACGCAACTCAAAATGGTCAAAGTAGAGACTCCAGACTAAGATGCATTCACCTTCTTCAGGACTAATACATCAGCAGAAGACAGTAGACATCTCCAAGGGTGACCAGAGTAGCGAAACTCCTGAAGGGCAGCTACTGGGTAGCAGTGGTAGTTGAAGGTGATACTGGTGGAAGATTTTTCACAGAGAACAGCAGTGATGCTCAAGCTAACTCTGGTTGGCACTGTGAAGGAGGCAGTGGTAAACCACTGATTATGTCTTGTCTTGTAAAAACCTATAATGAAACAACTGAAGATGAAACAAGAGAGGATTCCAGAAGATGAGATTCCCAGGTCAGAAAGTGCTCAACCAGCTACAGCAAACTACAAGTATGAATGATGCAACTAGATCAAAACCAAAAGGAATATAATGGCTACCATACACAGAGGCAAAAGCTGCAGACACATACAACTGGAACATGAGAATTATGTATCAAGACAAACTGGAAACTGTCAGAAAATAACAGGATGGTTAAACATTGCAGTACTTGGTGTGGGGGAACTAAAAATGTACTGGAGTTGGGCATTGTGAGTCAGACACACACAAAGTGTTTTATTCTGGAAATGACAAACTCAGAAGAAATATGGTGGTTCTAATACTGGCAAGATGTAGCACAGGCAGTAAGAGGCTTGTAATGCAAAGTCTGTCCAAATAATATTGATCAGAATTCTTGGAAAACCTATCAATATAACCATCAGCACTCCAACAACAGATATTGGAGCAGAAATCAAAAACATTCATGCAAACACTGATGGGGAAATTGATAACACACCAAAGCAAGGCCTGTCAGTAATCATAGGTGACACAAAAGCAGGAAATAAAGCAGAAACAACTGTTAGAGGACAGCATGGGCTAGTGGTCAGAAAGAAAGCAGAAGAATGACTCAGATATCTGTGAAACCTACTATCTGACCAGGATAAAAGAGAAGATGGAAAAAAATATGGAAGAGATAAAAAGATAACACAATCCTTTGAAAAGGATGCCCGTGAGGAAGAAGCTGTAATATTAGAAAGTGACCTGAAAGCTACTTCTGAAAGACTTGGAAGAAACCAAGCACCTGTGGTTAAAAATCCTAACAAGAATATGCCAAATGAATATGAACAACAACAGCCCATAGACTAGAAGCTTTTAATATACATTCCACTCCACAAGAAAGGAGATGCAAAAGAATGCAGTAACTATAGGTCCGTCGCACTAATTTCCCATGCAATCAAAGTGATGATCGAAGTATTGCAGCAAAGAAATTCCCCCTAGGTGGTGAGAGAAATGCCTGACATTCAAGCTGGATTCCAAAAATGAAAAGGAGTTCATATTGCAAATATTAATTGGCTATTGGAGCACATCAAACAATTTTTTAAAAAACAGTCTATGTTTTATAGACTGCAGTAAAGCCTCTGACTGTGTGAATCATGTGAAGCTATTGATGGTTCAGAAAGAAATGGGTGTGTCCTGATGTGCAACCTGTTCTGTGGACAAGAAGCTACTGTCAGGATCACAAAATCGGGACAGTAAAGAAAACTGACAGGAAGAAAATTGCTGCATTTGAAACGTGGTGGTGGAGGAGAGCATGTGAATATTCTGGACCAACAGAAGGATGAACAAATGGGTCCTAGATTGAATCAAGCTAGAAATTGCTCTGGAAACAAAAATGATGGATCTGAGGCTGTTGAACATTGGGCACATCATGAGAAGGCAAAACAATAATGCTTGGGAAAGCTGAAGGCAGAAGGAGGAGGGGGGAATCAAATCTGAGACAGATGGTTACATGAAAGAAGTTTGCAAGAGCTGAGCTGGGTTGTCAAGGCAGTACATTTTGGAGGACATTTGCATAGGGTCACCATAAGTTGGAGATGACTTGATAGCATATAACAATAACATCAGCAGGATATTGAGCATGGGTGATATGTGAAGCTTCTGCTGTAGACAGTGATCTGCAAAGGAAAAAAAATGTATTCACAAGCAAACGGGCTGGTGGAAATTAGCATTGTAAAATGGCTTGCAAACACCCTTAAAACCCAGCCACTTTGTGTTATTGAGGTCTCTTCCACAAACATCAATGAGCTCTTTGGCCAGTATTGGAATCCTTTGCAGATGCTGGAGCTCAGATGTGCCCACCTGTTTCTACATAACAAGTTATTCTCTGTACTGAACAAAATTGGGAAGTCCAGTTAAAATTTGATGTATGCATCACAGCCAAAAATTGGAAAAACTTGTATTGGCTATTACACTCTTCACTAAAGCTTCTCAGTCAATGTAATATTATTCTGTTTTGGTCCCTTCTCACACTATGCTTTGCACACCGTCTCATTACTTGCTATATTATATTGTGAAACAGCATTAAACAAAACCACACTCATGAGGTAGTTAAACACCTAATAAGGGCAATATAGATTAAAGTTTACTACCACATGGTGATATCTTTTCATATCGAATTCTAGTGTGATGCATCATTAGACACTGTACAGTAATTATTAGGTTTTGTGTGTATAGCAAGTTAACAGACCAAATTTACATTTTTGGAATTAAACACATATGACAATTCACTCCTGTTTATTCAGTTTTATGGTTATATTTGTTTCTTACAACCAGTTAGTATGAATCTTGTTCTATATACCTTGAACTGAGAATTTACAAGAGCAGATTATCATATGAGAACTGTTTTTAAGACAAGGAATGGTGCTTCCTAGTTCTAAATGGTCTACATTTATTGTCTGTTGCAAAATTGCATAATATACGTGCTTACAATGTTCCACTTTGGTAGCATGTCTCATTATGGCCACTGTCTTCAGCAGGACATATCCACTGAGAATTTATTTTCAGCGTATGATGGCCAACTGTAGTCTACATGCTTCTGAGCTTCTCTCAGAGCAGTCTAATTGGTCTGAAGTTCAAGCTATTTTTTCCACTGGTAGAATCAGAGAAACCCAGCTGCCTGCATACAAGCAAACTTGAGGAAAGATTCATGAACCCTCATGGGTGGCACAGGTAGAAATTGGCAGGAAGCTCACTGAGGACCTCTTTTCTCTCTCCATCTCTAGGCAGGCCCTGGGGTGAATGAACACTGGCCATAACTGGAGGCTCACATATACTTCAGTACTTATACCTAGTTACCCCTTTCCTTCTGAGGGCCTTTTGCACAACAGGAGAGGATGAATGGATGCATTAAATGGGAGGCTAGCACATACCACAGATTGAAAATAATGGCCAACGCAGTGAAATATTAGTATCACAAAGGAACAGCCAGGGAGCGAACGGAAGGAAAGAAGATTCTGTTCAGCAATGCGAAATGCCTCTTGTTCATGCAGGTGTACCTAGACAGCTGGTGACAGATCATGCTTCAGATGTTTTGCAGAGTCACTCTATTTTATTATTTCTTGTTTTATTTTCCATTTTTATGTGTTATTTTATTATTGTCTGTTTTTATCAACTGTTTTATAGCTGTTTCAGATTTTTAAAGATTTTTTCTGATTTTATGTATTTTTACTGTATTTTATCATCTGTTTTTATGGACTGTGTAAACTACCCAGAGAGCTTTGGCTGTTGGGGAGGATAAAAATTAAATAAATAAAGTTTTAAGATAGGCATTGCATGGTTAGATAGATGATAGAGAGATGATTGATAGATATTTGAGATGTGGAGAGGTTTACATTTTTAATCAGTCTCTTTTGTTCAGACTATTTATTTCAGGTATCCTGCGTCACTGATGAAGGGAGTGCTGTGACACCTGTGATCAAATACAACACTGCTACAGGACTGGGTAAATTCTTAAAGCAACATTCACACCATTGTGTGTGGATTTGCTGTTACATATTGGTTAATAATATAATGCAGTTTGCGATAGTACTATAGAAATGGAAAATTTATGCCATCCTATAGTGTGCAGGAAGCCTATGGCCCATATATGCCCCCCTTCTATTTCGCAGCCCCCGTCACCACTTGATGTGCTGTTTGTTGGTAACATTTCCCCTTTAAAACAAGGTATGCGTCTGACATGCCTTCTTTTAATGGTAGATTGTAATCTTCCAGGAATGTGATTTGCCTTTAAAGCAATCATGAAATGATTTCAATGGATTGTCCCTCTTTTCTTGCTGCCATTCCCACCACAGTGCCAACATTTGTTGTCAGCTCAGTAGCATGGCAGCCATTTCAGCAGTGGGGTGGAGAACGTGCAGCCACGGGTGGGATCCAAGGGGTAAGCAGTGGCTCCTAGCGCCTCCTGCCTTGCATGATGCCAGCCATGCAGAGCCCAGTCCTGATTTGCCTAAGGAATGGATCCTGCCCAGCACCTTCAACACCTACCCCAGAACCTTGCATCATGCAAGAACAGCAAAGAAACTTGTCAAACAGTGTGCTATAGTTGTGATAAGTTATGTCCTTCAGTTAAATTCCTAATAATAATCTTGCTATGGGGAAGGTGAAAATCCTATGCCCACATTGGCCATTGTACAGTCCTATCAACTGATCCCTAACTTAGCCCATAGCAAGATGAAGTTGTCATCTTAGGAGCAAGTGGGTGGCCAAGTCAGCATTACCAATGTTGAAGGCACAGAGTGGGCCTGAATTTAGAGGCAGAGAGGAAGGTGCCCTCCCAAACATGCACCAAGCCAACAGAAGTCCTGATTTCCTCCACAGGGCCCAGCCTAAGTCAGCCTCTCCAAGCCCTCCAGTGTTACAGAAAATAGTCAGTACACTGTTTGTCCTGCAAAAGGAGGCCAGAGATCAGAGGGGAGCCACTGGTTATGCTAACTGTGGTGTTTCTCTAAACATTTCCATGGCAGGTGGAACAAATCCTTTTCATCAAGCATAGAAACATGAGAAAAGTCTCACTGCATTGGAGCAAGGCTAGCATTCCAGCACTCGGACAGAAGCATAAGAATGTACTGCTTGGATCCATTCTTGTTTGGCTTTGGGAAAATTTTTCAAAAGCTACTAGATGAGAAGGGCTGAGCAGCAGTAGGTTAAGAAGCCCTAAAAAGTGACATCCTTGCAGATAAGTGCTACAGCTGTAGGTGTGGCTAAGGCAGATTGACTGAGAGCAGGCCTGTCTTTCCATCTGTTGGGGCATTGCAAACAGGTCAAACAGCCAGTGATAATAAGCAAATCGAAATAGCCCTTGAGTTTTGGCTACTTCCAACAGTTATTATATTTCTAATGTGCTAAGCAACCCCATGTATGAGACAGAAACAAGAATAAACTTTAAACATTTACTGATTAAAATGTGGAAAATACAGTGACTATAATAAATGATCCGAGGATTGTACAAGGTTTGGTGATGACATTGTCACAATCGTATAAGCCTAGCAGAATATTGTGGGCTATAGGACCACATAAGCTGCTATCTAAATGCAAGTCTTATTTTCTTAACGAACAGAATTGACATAGGCTTTTGTTTCTTTCTGTACCGTAAATTTGGAGGGGAAAGCAAAAGTACAGTGGAATGTACTTGGTCATAGATAAGAGTGGGGTGAAGGCCGGTGTGTTTGGGTGCATGAAGGATGCTTCGGAAAGGTTTGCTAAATGCTTCCAAATTCTAAGCATTTTGTTCCTGCACTTTTAAGCAAGACCAAGAAGAGACCACTGCACCAATGTCTGTAGTTTTACCCTGTGCAATAGTATCTTTTCATAAAGGGAGACTTAAGAAAGATATTATAAAAGAATGCTATCAGAATATACCACAATAGAAATGTTGTCCCATGCCACAACATCCGTAAGGGCTGGGATAGCTACATATCATTGAGAACATCTGCCTGGTATACAGTTAGGTTAAACTAGTAATTAATCCTGCTATTAATTCTGCTAGTGTATTGCTTATCATTTGATTTAATATTTTGGTGTCTCAAAATATATTTAGAGCTTTTTTTAATGCTGAGGTAGTAAGTAAGAGCAGGATTGGTTTAAAAGTTATCTGTTGTTCTAATGCTGAGGTTGAGCCATGAAACTCATTTGACAGGGAACAGCTGGCTAAGAGAAAGCCTTGCAGTTCCTTTTCTTTAAGTGACTCAGAAACAAGAAATTCTAGGCATCATTTGGAAGTTTTGGCTTAAATCAAGAAGTATGCTTTACTTTGTTCTGTGATGCTTGAAACATTTGTGCCTTGTATATTTATCTGTAAGAGTAATACTTGAATAATTCTGATACGATTTGAGTTAGATATATTTAAATGATGGCTATATTAAATGGTGTAAATCAGGGTACAATTCTATGCATATATAGACAAAAATGAGTCCTACAGACCCAGACAGATAGGATTTATTTCTGTATAAATATGTATCAGATTATGCTCTTAGTTCTTGAAGATTATTTTTGTACCATATGTTTTAGTTTCCTTTGATAAAGAGAGATTTTTATATTCTTTCTTTTCTTCTTTTTATACGGGCACTGAGAGCTGCTCTTATCCATTTTACTGTTGTTATTTTAAAAAATACACAGGCCATTCCCAAACATATGTATGATGAGCAGATGACAGGTGGTGAACAACTGGGATTTCTGGAGAAGTGGGATTCCTAAACATTGTTCGGAAACATCTTGATTCTTCTGATGCAGTCTGCCTTGCGCATACTGAGGTCTAGAATATGTGATGCTCTGGATCTTCCCAAACATTAATTGTGTGAATGCAGAACGTGCACATGTGCTATCTAAACAACTGTTTGAAAATGGGAGCTGTCTCAGTGGTGAGGGAAAGAGAAGTTTAACTCTTTCCATGATCTTGGCAAATATTACCTGTCTGAAGTTGCTAATTCCATTTCGAGAAAATTCCTGACTGGCGCCAATGAAATACAAACAGCAGCTTTGGAATATGAATATTTGTTCAGACCATAGTGCACTTGCATACACAGACACACAGGGGCTGAGGGTGGGGAGTGAAAGAGAGTTTTAAACTTCTCATCTTCCATGGCTTCTAAACTGCTTAGGTTTCAAGGTCGCTCCCTTAACAGAACAGAAACGTGCACATAAATTGTATTTGCGTAATTAACAGTTGGCATCTAGCTTGGCACCAGGACTGAAGCCTGCCTTCAGTTAGAGGTAGCCCAAGCTGAACACTAGTGGGGAAAGAATTGAGAAAAGGGGAAAGATTTATACATGCATATGGTGGAAGAATACAGTAGTATAGGTAGAGCAGGATTTCTGGGTCCAAGGTCCAGATGCCCCTTTCTGGCCATACAGAAAGACAGGTAATGGCAGCTGTGCCATTAAGGATGGCTTGCTGCAGTATTCTTGTTTCCTTCTTATTTTAAATACTTTTTATGGTCTGGGAACACCTGTGCATGTAAATAGTTACAGATGCTAATGTTATTATTTTCACTTTAAAATAGGCTACCCTTTATAGCATGATACTTATTTCCAAGTAAAATGGGTTGAACAAGAAAGTAGAAGAGACAAATGCCGTTTTATCCTTGCACTTATGATGATGCTATGATATAAGTGAGATTAAAATGCAAAATATTCTTCAAGGGTTTCTTTTTTTAGTTAAGGTTGGCAAACGGGTTTTTTTTTTACTCTTAACATATGAGGAACGCACAAGCAGTTGTAAAGGAAACAATGGAAGCAGGCGGCAGGGGGAATGTCAGCTGCGGAGCATGGATTTCTCTAACAGTTGCAGTAACACACAAGACTATCTGAAGAATGAGTAAGACAATGAATAGTCCAGGGTCTAAAATTATCTAGGAGTGCCTCTGCAAGAAGAGCAGGATGATTTAGATTCCACCTCTCTTCCTTAGATTCTCTTCTATGCCATTGCTTCCACTGATACACAAGTTCATGCAAAGAATCCACAGAGCAGATCCAAAGGACTGGCTTTTATATGCAAGTTTGGAATTTCTGTTGTTTGCACAAGACTAATGATATCCTTTGTAGTTCTTTATTCCCCCACCCACAAAGATACTCTTGTTTTTACTTCTTTAAAGGCAACTCAAGGGTTACATTGACTATTCCAAGTTTTTGAGTTGAGCACAAAGATTTTTGCAACATGTCTACTCAAACAAAACAGCCCCCCCCCCCGCCACACACACACCACTAGGTAATTGTTTCATCTGTTCAAGGTTACTTTGAAGTATCTGCCTTAGCTTCAGCACATGCTCTCCACCTCCTCTTGCCTGGTAGGTGCCAATGCAGGGGTGATTTCCAACCCAGGCAGCCATGCCAAGACTTAAAACACAGTCTCCAGAGTGCAGTAAGCTTTATATTCCAGCCCACTAGCATACTGAGCCATCGCAGCACCTTGGAAATGAGCAGAGTGTGACAAACTGCCACCAGCATCTTTCTGACTCCTTATAAAATGAAATAAACAGAGCAAATAGATCACACGACATTTTTTAAAATAACGTATCTCTTCTCCCTCTCCATTCCTTCCCTGGATTTCACAGGTCCCACATTAACAACGCCAGGAGAAAATCATGGAGTGAAGACAAAGCAGGCCGTGTTCTACACAGAGCTTTGGTTTGTGGTCCTAATGGCTATCCTTGGCTTGCTCCTTCTGGCAATTTTTTTGTCCCTGATTCTGCGAAAGAAAATAAGCAAACAGCCATATGCACGGGAAAGGCCTCCTTTAGTCCCACTCCAAAAGAGGATGTCACCAATGAGTGTCTATTCACAAGGAGAAACGCACATGGTAAGATCCAAAGCCTGCACTGTTTCACCAACAGCACCTGTGTGAACATGTTCTCTCCATCATGCGTGTGCTTATGCATGCCTGCGCAGGCACGCACATGTGTATGCACTGAGGCAAGCTTTTTAACATTTGACACGGACTGAGTTTCCTTTGGGTGCAAACGGCCAAGGCAAAACAAGAGGGCTCCTGTGGCACTGGCTATCAGAACCTGGTCTGGTTCGCATGAGTTGGTGTCAGGCACTTTGCGTCCCCATTAGCCGCTTGGCCAACTACATGGTTAAGGCATTGTGCTTGGTCCTGGGTTGCTAACAAAAGCTGCCGCCTCCACTGGGCTGTCTTCCTATCATGCTTGGGCACGAATATGGGGGTCATGTCTTTCCCTACATTTGGGTGGGAGAGGTAGGGGAAACCAGGTTACGTGGCTGTGTGTGCCTAAATGTTTTGGACATGATGCTACACGCAAGATGGGACTCTGGCCAAACATGGCAGCATCTACTTCTGCCCTCGTTCTTCCCACTAGAACCACAGGGGAGCTCTAAAGTGATAAATTTTGGTCAGATGACTTGGAAGCAAATGAGAACTCTCCCTCCCAGGATGTGAAACTTGGCAAAGTTACCAGATTTGAAGAGAGGAGCAGCCGTTTTTATCTGTGCTTTGTGCCTTTCTAGAGGGACTATTGCAGAATTATATAGCCAGCCATTTCTCAGCTCCCACATGGGCTGTGTTTTCCCCCTTCAAGCTGAACAGCATGCTTAAATTTTCCTGTCATTTTCACAGCTCAAGCCTTCGTTAAAAGCATTTTAAAGACTACAGCAAGTCGACAATTTTAATTTTTATGTCAACCCTTAAGGACCTGTCAGTGCCATGGCTACTCCTAGAGCATTACTGAGTTAGGGGGCCAAGCGGGGGCCTTAAAGGAAAATGTTTGTGTTCAAGAATGACCCTCAGGAGCCTGGAGATGCTGCCCTCAGCAACATTTCTATGATGACTCAGGATGGATTGTAAAGGCTAAATTAGGGGCTGTTGAACCAATTTTATTTGGGTTTCTGAAATAGAGAAATGAGTGTTGAATATAGACTGGTTTCTGCAAAGCTTTACAGGAACAGTCACTTGTAGCTGAAAGAAACTATCCAGCACACCAAGTATAAACTGAAAAGTGTTGCACAAGGAAGAAGAAAAATTTTTGATGCTAATGTTTAATCCAGGTAGTTCCCTCACTGCATTGTTCTAAGACGTCAAATGATGGGAAGATCCATCCTTTCCGAGGTACCCCATTCGCTCTAGTATCTGCTTCTCATAGCCTAGATGGGACTGCCTGAGAGCATCCTCATTTTGTCTACATCAACCAGCAGAAGCTTTCCAGGATTTCAGACACAGGAGCTCCTGCACACAAAGGGAAAGCCTGACCAATCAGAAGCTCCCCTCATAGGGAAGAGCCCTACTTATGCACATTGGTATGCGCAAAGGGCTCTTCTTACACTCCCCAAATGTGCTACCATCTGCAGCAGTGTGGAGGGATTCAACGTCACTGTCCCGATTAGTACATGAGCGGTGTTTGTTTGAACAACCCCTTAACAGATGGAGAAAGGAGCCCTCCCGTTCTCCCTGTTCCACCACCCCATCTCCCTGTTCCACCACCCCATCTCCCTTTGGGAAATGAATGTTGAATTGGAATGTGCCTGGGCTGCTTGTGACATGACCAGAAGGAAAACAAGATTTTCACAACTTGGGTCCCTGTCTCCCTGGACTTCTCTGCCTCACCCACTCCATAAAGATATGAATATGCATGGACAGGTTTATCTTACTGTAGTAGGAAATTGATTTTGGATTAGATGGGGCAAGGAAACAAAAAGCACACGTGGAGCTTTCTCTGCCTCCCTCTGCTCATGTCAAGAATGGCTCTGAGCACCTTCCACACTCAGCCACGTAAACCACACTATTTTAAACTGCTGGGCATGCACAGTTGCTGTGCATCAGAAGGAGCATAGGCTGACACTTCTTGGAGAGTTTCTGGGATATGACAACCTTGCACTGAGTTCTTCATGTGGAATATCTGCACTTCTTCTGCATGGACCATAAGGTGCTCCTGTCCATGAGGCCTATAAAGGTTGCAAACAGAGCTCTGCCTGCAAATGCAGACAAAAGTCTGGCCTACCTACAGATCACTCAAAAAACCAGCCTCATCTCTCCAAAACGTTACCCCGATAATTTACAACACTGTAGTACACACAGAAAAGAAAGTTATATAAAGGGGATGTACACAACTGAATCCTATAAGGGGCTGTGACACATATTCACTAATATTTATATTCATATCACCAAACTTGTTTGTTTATAAAAACTTTATAGACCATTACAATAGCTACATGGCTCTCTCGATAGTTTACAACACTTCAAAAGAGAGTGAAAGAAAACATTAAACAAGCAAAATAAACAAACTCAACTTCATGTTTCTCCTCCTCCTCTACACTCACAGCCCTCTGCATGATCTTCTGTCCAGGTGTGTGACCCAGTGGGAGGAGGTTGAGCCATGTGCTTTAGCTGATGTCAGAGAAGCATGGGGGCAAATGCCCATATGTCACCAGAGCACGTTTAGGTGATGGGCAGAGCCCGGGAGGCAGAAGGGGCAAAAAAAAAAAAAGTGGAAAAAAGTGGAAAAAAAGTGAAATAGCCCCGAGCGATAGCAATGGAATGGCCAATCGCTTGGAAAGCAAATGAACAGGCTCACAAAAACAGAAGGTGCACTTTTGGGAATGAGGTTGGAAATAAAAAACCAGAAGGCAAGCACAATAGTTTTAGCTATGCCCAATAAGTCTCTTTTCATATTCTTTATGCAATTGTGGCCTCTCATCCCTATATTTACCGTGACACTTTTAACACTTGAGATGTTTCTTTAAAACTGTGAACTGGTTTATCACTACGTATTAGCCATTTCCTTCCGCCATTATATGAAATACCACTGAAAGCAGAGTACAGCATCTTGTTTCAGGCAGCTTGTGTCAGCGCTGGTAGAAGTTTACAAAACAGCATTTCCAGGCTTTCTTATTTCTCATTTTGCTTCCCCTTCTCCTTCGGAAGGTTAACTGTCTCAACTGCTGCTCCTCTTCTGTCTCTTGCGTTTTAACTCCTTGCCTTCTCTCCTGTCTCGCCTTTCCTTCTTTATTTCCTGCACCTGTGATGCTTCAAAAATGCAGAAACCTTCTCTGGCTGATAATCCCCGCCATCAGCCCCTTGTTGCTAGTCCTTTACAAGTCCCTGTCATCTCGTCTTCACAAGTATCACAGAGCTCAGATAAGGTAAGCCTTTGCAATGCATATGTCTGCATAAACATTTGCGAAAGATATATTTCTCAACTGCTAGGCAGGGCTCTCTCCCCCTGTCGCTGCACTAGATAGCGGGAACGGCTCTGTTTTATTATCACTTTCAAGGTCACGCAGCATACGGTGCCGATAATTGTAAGTGCAGTTTTTACACCTAACTCAATTACTGGCTCAAATCTGGAACGCTGAGCTGGTGGAGCCCCATACAAATGCCAGCGAAACTTGCCTCGAAGAGCAACAAATCGGCTTGCAGGTGCCACCAGCCTGCTCTCCGGGCGCCGCTCCATTTTGCTGGCTCGGGTGAGGGCGCAGTTCCGCCGCCGCTTTGCTCGAAGGCGCGGGCCTTACAGGGCCTTCCCGCTCGCCGCCGCCCATCCTTTCTCGAGGGCATTTCTCACGGCATCTCGGCCGTTCAGAAACGCTATTAACACCTTTCTCCCCCTTTTAATCTCAGTTCGAGCGGGTTGCTGATACGTCCGAGTCATCCAGCAGCGTCACCCTCAAAAGCTACACGATGCACTTGGAGGTAGTGATTGGAGTGGCTGCGGGGCTGGGCTCGGCCGCCGGGCGACTGCGTGGCTGGCATGGTCGGCCTTTGCATGATGCATGCTTGCTTGCCGCGTGACTATTCGTAGCTGAATGGGGTGGTTTCCGAGTAGACCCGTTTTCTGTCCAGGTGGCTGAGCAGGCTACAAAAGTCTTTTAACTTTTGTTCTGGGACGCAAAGCAGGCTCAATGGTTTCTTGCGGAAAGCCGGCCTTTATTTTCCTCATCCGCAGTTGATGTGATGGGTCGATTTCAAATCACAAGCAAAGCCACGTTGGGCTGAGAAGTCCTGGGCAAAGTGGCGGCGGGGGAGATTTACTTTTGCTCCCTCCCTTTCTTCTCAGTCTCCCAGTTCCAGCTGGCTAAGCAGCAGCACCTGGTGAGATCAGGCCCAGACACATCCAGCAGTGTCGGGAAGGGCCTCCCTTCCCTCTTTACCATTTTTGGAAATTGCGTGCCAGACTCACTGCCTGGCCAAACCGCAGGCCCACATGCCCAGTGGACCTGGCTGTCCGTCCAGCGGGCATCTCACTCAACCAGGCCTTAAACTGAGCTCCCTTCCTGATGCTTTTTTGTAAGATAGTGGGGCGGGATGAGCCTCTGCTCAACACCTCACTGCTGCCCTCCTCTTCCAGGTGCTGTTGTGAAGCAAAGGGCTCCTTCTGTTAGTTGCACACTGGTCAATGTGCTGCCCAGCCGAGCACCGGGTCAGCTTGCCCTGGACTTGGCTGCCTGCTGTGGCCCTTTAGGAAGAAGACAGAGCCCTGCCTATCGCTTTGCCACCACCACAGGTGGTGGAAAGGGACATGACTTGAATGCAGGGTCTTCCTCATACCTTATTGTTCCCCCACTCTGCTGCCTACCTGACTGCACCCCAAATGGGAAAAGGCTCCCCCTCCCACACACACACACACTACAATCAAGCAGGGGCATTCTGGAGAATTGAAGTGGTGGCAGGAGAGGCTGGAACCAGCACAGGAGATACTTCACCTGCCCCCACTCACCTTCCATCCCAAGAGAAATCTTGCCCCTGGCTCTGGTGGGGTCCTTTGGAGGCCCTCTGGGCTTTATGGGTCCCAGAGATCTGCCAAAGGTTTAGGTGCCAAGCCGCAGCAGCCTGGAGCAGTGATGTATCCTCACAAAATCTGGAAGAGGAGCCCAACTAATGTGGAGCAGAGTTCAGTGGTGGCCAGGCCCATAACATATCATGCTCCTGCATTAAGCTCCTGGTTACTAATGTCGTCTAGTGACTACTGTGCTGGGCATGGACCCCAGAAACCTGCATTTCCAATTCGGTGCTGTCACAGACAAGACACCTCTGCAACATTCAAAAAAGTATATTGGCAGCTGTGTGGCAATCACATCAGCACAAATCCTTGTAGTACTGATAATGCAACTGCAACTAACAAGTGATGGAGCAGGGGCTTGCTGGAAAGCCAAGGATGCCACTGGACCTATGTCTGTTAGGGCCTTGGATCTCTCTTATCAGCTATGATTATTGACCAGTCCCACTCAGTATGGTCCTCTCCAATTGGCTGCACTTCCCCAAAGGTTTGGTTGGGTTCCTAGCATTAGTTATCTGAGGTTGTATGGTAATGACTGATACCAGATGTTGAACCTGAGACCATCTCATCAACAGCAGATCTCCAGCTGTGCATTCTGCACCAATGACGTTGGTGTAGAGAAGGCTAGGGAAATAGTGGAGAACTAGAAACATGCAGACAAAGATGTGATTCATTCAAATCCACATGTAAAATACTACTGCTGTTTCCTTAACATCTGGATTCCCCCAATCCACCTGTGAACCTAGCTGGCATGGTTTGATTCCTTCCTGTGTTCCACGGCATGCTACGTTTTACATGATATGGTAGGTGGCAGGGTTTCCTCATAGCAGTGTGGGGTGTCATGATTAGAGTGCTGGACAGGGACAGAGGAAATCCAGGTTATAGTCCCTGCTTGGCCAGGAAGTTCACAGGGCGACTCTGGGCCGGTCACTAACTGAGTCTAACCCACCCCACTGGGTGGCTGTGCAAATACAATGGAGGAAAGGAAGATCACATTGCCAGAGAAGAAACTGGATAAACATGTAGTTAGTGGATAAACAATCATGCTTGATGGGTGTGTATGGCATGTGTGTGCATATGTATACAAGTCAGGTCATTAGAAGTGATGTAAATGAAGTATGAAAACAGTAAACTGGTTTTTGACACACAGATCCAGTTGATTTATATTAGCAGAAACTTGATGTACAAGTTAAAAAGAGGTAACAAGGCATTCATCAGTGACCTCGTAGCCCTGCTCACCTTGCAGGCATTTCATGGAAAGGGTGTTTGTTGTTGGAATGGAATGGCAATTATGCTTAAGAGGAGATCACCTTGTGAAACTGCTCTGCAGAAGGCTGTGGTTCCCACAGGGAACAATAGCTAGACTGAGTGCTAATGATCCTTACCATGTGTGTTTTATGGTGTTCCGTTATTGCCCGTAAACTCTGCCATCAAGACAGGCTACTGTAGTGTTGTGAAATTAACTTTCATCTGGTCATCAGATAGGGATGGTTTATGATGAGGGAATTGTTTCTTACTGGAAGCCACAGTTTGTTTAGTAAAAGTGTTTCCTAAGAGGGCAACTTTTCTGTTTCCATATTCCCAGGGACTGGCAGATACAAAAATACCAGGACCAGCATCTCCTAGGAGTTTGCATAGCAGTCAAAGCACTTCTGGCCTTCAGGTACCAAGCCAAAGCCAGATGCTGCACACCTTTTCTCAAGGTTCCCTACGTCGAAGTGTTAGCCAGCTCATTGATGTCTATGACAAGAAATCCTTGACAGACGATATGGTTTGGGATACCATTCTTCATGGTCATGACAGTGGTTTGGTAAGTTCTTTTTCTGGGCAGAGTAATCAGTGCTGCCCATTAACATGCTCTAAGTACAGAAGCTTTGAGAGAAATGTCAGCTACAGCGTGTAACCCCATAAGCACTAAATTCTCGTAGAAAATCTTTTGCATGTCTATCAATGCCACCAGAATGCATGACTGGGAGCAGTCCACCACTTCTGGTCAAAAACATTCCCCCTGCAAAACCCTGCTCACTTCTCTGGTAAACTCGGGTGTACTGAGCTGCAGGGGAATGAATCCTTTACCCGGAAGAGCTTTCATGCAACCCCAGTGACATTAAAATGCAGTTACCACATCAGTAAGCCAACAGTGCAAGCCCAAGTATACATTGTGCTTATGTCAGTATTACATGCCAGTGGGCTAGCAAATAGGTTATATACCATTAACTGATCTCTACTTATGATGACCTTGTCCATCACAGCCTATCCATGACAGCCCTTGCCGAGTTCTTGAATCCCTTTAAATATAACCAGCAGTTCATGGAAAACTTTCAGGTTATGAGTTTTCCCCGTGGCCTGCATCTTGCATAGAGCAAGAAATGGTATTAACTATCTTCTAAGAATTTTTAAAGGATACTATTGTTTACTTGTTCTTGAACCACTTTTTACTAAGCTCATTTATACAGTAGATTTTGAAAATCCTAATAAATTTTTTGATAATCTTGTAAGTTAACAAATGAGCAACACTGGGTGAGGAGTTCCTTCCTCTCCGATACTAAAATGCAAAGTACTTTGAGAAGAAAACCTGGTATTTAGGGCACAATCCAATACCCTCCACCCTCAGAACTCCAGAGACTTATGCCATTCCAATGCACGCAGTTTTCTCTGCTGCTGCTATGTATCATGGCCTGCATTTCATCCAGACCACAATTTTTGGCCACACAGATGAAGTGTCATGAAGACAGAAGGCTTGGCCACCCAGCTTCCTCCCCTCCTTTCCTCCAGCACACTCCATTTCCTGCTGTCTGAGGCTGGATTACAAACTTAGAAAGGCAGCTGGTGCTGTTCTTTTCACACTGGGTGGGGTGGGGCTCGGCTCCTTATAATCCTGTGGTCTCCCAGACTACCCTATGGAGGCCATAGGATGGTGCCTTTAGAAACAGAGTGAGTTAGAAGGGGCCTCCTGGGCCATCTGGCTATTCAACCAAGGGTGGCATTCGCCCTCTTGACCACCGCATCACACTGCTGACTCATGTTTAGCCTGCAGTCGACCAGCACCTCGAGGTCCCTTTCACAAGTGCTGCTCTCCAGCCACTTGTCACCTAACCTGTACTTAGGACAGCTATTCCTATGCCCCAAGTGCAAGACCTTGCACTTATCCACATTGAACGCCATCCTGTTGTCTCCTGCCCACTTCCATAGTCTGTCCAGATCCTTTTGGATCTGGAGTATCTGATCCTCAGTTGTGGCCACTGCTCCAGTTTTAGTATCGTCTGCAAATTTGATCAGCAGACTGTTCACCCCTTCTTCCATGTCATTTATGAAAAGATTAAACAGAATCGGTCCCAGGACAGAGCCCTGGGGGACCGCGCTTGTCACTGGCTGCCATCCCAATGATTCCCCACTAATGGTTACCCTCTGCTTTCGGTCTGTCAACCATGCCCTAATCCCCCGGACAGTGCTTTGGTGTATCCCAAAACTCCTGTTTCTCCACCAGGATATCATGGGGCACTTTGTCAAAGGCCTTGCTGAAATCTAGGTAAACCACACCCACTGCATCCCCTCCATCTAGCCATCTCGAAACCTTGTCATAGAATTCTACAAGGTTTGTCTGGCAGGACCTGTTTTTGCGGAGGCCATGTTGTGTGGCTGTCAGCCTCCCCTCCCTTCTAGCATCACTAGATCTCTCTCTATTATGAGCCTTTCCATTGTTTTTCCTACAATGGATGTAAGGATAACAGGTCTGTAATTCCCCATGTCCCTTCTACTACCCTTTTTGAATAGCTGATGTCATAATGTAATTTTAAATCTGATATGGGTTCTTTACTGTTTTTCCATTCTTACTTGTAAATTTCTATTTCTGATATGTACTTCCTATAAAATTAAACAAAATGCAAATTTTAAATTACTTTTTTAGTATGTGGATGATGAAGACCTTGTGAGCACTATCAAAGGCTTCAGCATGGTTACCAAAGAACATACAACGTTTACAGATACACATTTGTGAGTAGTATGTCCAGCATTTGACAATTTAGACAAAAGAATCCAGCCATTCTAAATACATCGCTGTTTAGAGTCATTTGATGCAATGTCTCTACTGAAATGTTGATTTCTTGGGTAGTGGGTGCTTGAAATGCATTAAAAGAAAAATCTCTGTCCACTTTACTTTAAAATATTTGTAATAATGCATTTCTAAGAGTAAATTTTATTTATATAGCAAATATATTCATTTCTAATGTGTTTCTGTGTATCTGAACCAGAAATCTTTATTAAGCATCACCTAGTGAAATCATGACTACATAAAATGATTAAAGTCTGATGTTAAAGGTTTACCCAAAAAGTATATATATTTTTAAAGTCAGTTGCTGTCTAGATACACATTTGACATGTTCTGTGGTATATGAATAGAGAATATAGAAAGACAATTTAAAGTTATTTTTATATTTCACCCGGTTCCCTTCAGGGAACTCAAAGCAGTTTACATAGTACTTCTCTCAATTTCATCCTAACAACAATCCTGTGAGATGGTTGGATCAAGAGTCTATGACTGGTTTCAAGTCACCCAGTGAGCTCCATAAGTAGGGGAAAAAATAACATTTAACTTTAACTTAAGGACCTGGAGCCCTGAAAGTCTTATTAGATTATGCTTTTTGCAGCGTCCCTTTACAAAAATCTGTTATTGCCCCTACAAGCCCTTATGGTTCTTATGATGTACTTAATTTCTGGTTATTTACCAGTTTGTGATGATAAAAACTTGAGGAGTTTGTACTGCCTTGAGTTCCTTGCAGGAGAAAAAGTGAGACAGAATAAAATAAATATACCCGTTGAATCTTAAACACATTTGAGGCAGACTCAGTCAACTCTAGAGATGTGCTGTTATGCCGAAATAGTAAAGAACACTATGCAGTGCACTTCTGCCTATTCCAATAGTGAATTCCATAGGCGTTTCTCCCAGATGAACGCATATATAATTGCAGCCTACGTCTTCCAGTGTACCTGTTCTGGTGAGTCGATAATGGACATGTAAGACATCACCATGCAGCAACTTTGTGAAAATTATACTTTACTGTTATGCCCATGACTGATTTAAATAGATAGCTTTTTAGGTGTTAGCAAGTAGGCCATACTATCACTGTTCTACTGGGCACAGGATGAGAGCTGTCCAATTGTAAGGGTGGCTATGCAAACATACCAGTTCCGATGATTAGATATAAAATGCAAGCTTGGTACTTACTGTGAGATTCCATTTGACTTCAGTATGGGAAACAAACATTTCTTCCACCCCAAGGACAGGTGAGGAATATGTGACCAGGTTTTTTTCCTTTAGTCCTGGTCCCTATGCTTCCCCTTAGCCTGTTGCTCTCTTAGGGCATTTAGACATATTAGGACATAGTTGTTGAGACCCATTTGTGTACAGAGAAAAAGAGAAAACTCATACAGAAGGTTGAGAGAACCGTGAGAAAGGTCTGAGTTTGTTGCAGAACTCTGTTCCACATAAAGTCAAGTTTATGGACCAAAACTTATTCATTTAGGGCTATATCCCTCTTTGCTTGGTTTAATAGTACCTTTGAAGTGTTATCTGTGACAGAAATGGATTAACATGTGGAGAAATACTAAGCATTAACTGCTGATGTGTTCCTTTAGATTTCAGTATATTATTAATTTTTATACATACAAACTATACAATTGCAATTATTTAAAACCAAACATTTTCTGTCATTATATATGAAAATGTAATATATTGTCAGACTGTAGGATGCTACCCTTATTAATAAATGATGTTTACTGAATTTTTTCTGGAATCATCTTGATCCCTGTGATATTACGGTTTGTGGCTCTGTGTACTAGTTGTATGCTAGTACAGATTTGGTCAGAATACTAGCTGGACTTTCTAAATACAGTTCTATTATGCAAGCAGCTATAAACGAAGATTAGTATTGCTTTAAAAACAGTGGAATGAAGCACTGGAGTATTGCTCTTGGTTATTCCGATACAGAAGAAGATACGGCTCTCCTGCAGAAAAGCTGCAGCTGCCTGCCATAGCCTTTCAGAATTTGAACCTATCTGCCTTTATCTAAACAAGATGTGTCAATCCCCTAGTCTCCCTCCACTGAGAAGGCAGCCATTCCACCCTTCCAGTGTTATTTACCATCTCTCAATTTTGAAATGAGCCAAATGTAATCAAGCAATAAAATAAAATACTGGTATGTAGCATGGTATGAATACAGAATAATCTATCCTTCCATTAAGAAACCATAAGCATCCTTATACAACAGAGTTCATTCTCTTGAGATGTTTAGAGGTATTACATTTCCAATTACACTACTCATTGTATAAACACATAATGGAAGTTTAACTTGCAAGTCTAGATTGATTGATGCATTTTATTCTTCATTTCCCTTCCACAATGTATTATACAACATGTTGTACCCCTACAGAAAGTGACAGACAACGTTTCCTAAACATTAATATGTTAATAAACTATGTGAAGTGCTAAAGACTACAAAACATACAACTTAGGTTGCACACAGCATGTTCATGTTTGTACCTTTTAAGCAACATACAGCAGGGACCTGTCTTTTAGCTTGTATTACCCTCTAAAGTAGCATGTACATCAGTGACACAGCAACAAAACACTGTCTAATAAAGTTGCAAACTGGGAAAGCTCTACCTCATTGCTCGCCTCAAGTAATGCACCAACTAGATGGTCTGAGACAAGCCACCACCCTTCAGCTTCGCTCCTCCCTTCCCCTTGGAAGGAGATGGAGATGATCCCCCTTGAAAACATGTTCTTGCTGTTACTTTGTATGCATGAAGTTGTCTGAGTGCCAGGTACAATTCTTTCTCACATGGGCATGGTGCATTCGCACAAGAGGCTCAGAGTCCCGTCATTCCTCTTCCCAGGTGAGCATGTAAAGGGCAGATCAGGAAAGCTCCCCAGGAAACTGACTTTGCACAGGTTCAGATCACAAACTTTTAATATACATGGTCTGAAAATGCCCTATGGCCTTCTCCCAGAAAATCCTGTTGCCAGTATTTTCTAAGAGGATGAGGCCAATCATGCCAGTAATAAATGGGTTATACTATCCAGAGTAAAAGGCATACAAAAGTACTAAATTGCTTTATACTTTAATATTAAAGCCAAATATATGCAAAATGACGTTTGAAAGCAACCATACTCAGTCACAAGACATTTAGAATTGCAGGGTGATTCAAGTTAACAAATTGCACCATATGATGTATGCCATTTATTAATACTAATAAAAAATATGGTGACCCATCAGAAAAAGCAAATGGGCCATGCTGCTTTCTTTCCATGAATATTCCCAACATGAAATCACGCTGAAAGTGTGAACTGAGAATTGACTATAGACAAACAGGCCACAGACATTAAACACTTAGCATGGAAGGAGCCAAGGGGGGGAAATGCTTACATACAATAGAAAATGCTCCCCTTCAAAAAAAATGGTAGTGCATGCCAGCCTGCATTAAAACAAGGCTTGAAGTCTGTACCAGAACTGGACCTCATAATAATCGTAATACAAAGTCAACACCAATTTAGAGTACATAAGAATGTTTTTGTTGTGCTGTGAAGTCAAGTTCTTTGTGTGTGACAGCCTCCCTATATTGTCTTAAAGACATTCTGTTAGAAAGACAGGATTACAGGTGCATACATGTAAACATTTCATCCAGTTTAGTGTTTTGAGATAAGTCCTTCAGCACTTCTACAAGGTATAATCCTGGCAGGAAGAGTCACTTTTCTTATGCCGTGGAGAAATGGTTGTTCTTGTAGGTGATGGGGAAGCTGTACCGAGTGTTTCAGAACCTCCTTCCACAAGACTTGGTGAAGATACCGGATGAGGCACTTTCTTCCTTCCCAGGAATCCTCCTCCTCCTCCTCCTCCTCCTCCTCCTCCTTCAAATCCACTTTTCTTTTTATTGTCTGCTTTGGCTTCATTTTCTTCATCAATTCCTCTTTTCTTCATTTCTGATAAACCTTCAGGCACTTTCTGAACTTCAGCTCCACCATCTGCTGCTTTAGCAGCTCTTACCTCAAGTGCTGATGCCGAAGCCTTTTTGTCAGTTATGTTTTCACCTATCCTCTTCACTTCTGTCTGTACAGGGCTCTGGTTACCATTCTGAGGAACAGCTCTGTCTACCATAGTTTTGTTCAAATTAAAAGCCTGCATTTCTCTGTAACTGTGAAAACTTTCTGTCCGCCGTGCTCTGGCTAGTAAAGGGCTCTCCCTATATGGCCGTACAGAGCCGTATGTAGCAGTTTCATGGATTGTTTCACGATGCTGCAGCTGCAGGCTGGAAACATTTATAGTGATAATATTAGTGAACTGCATTGTCAAACTGCACAAGGATGCTCTAAAGCGAAAAGCATAAAACATCAGATAGTATTTAGTGCTATTCTTAGTAATATGTTAGAGATCATTTTTATGCATAAGCACACTTACTAATATTTAATAGGAAAAGAGATCGCATCTTTCTAGCAGGTACCTATCTCACAACTTTTACAAAATAGCGAAGTTGTAACTTTTCTTTTACTGAGAACTGGCTGCAGTGAAGATGACTTAAAATGTCAAGACCTAGCATCTATAAAATGCAATTCTAGCTATGAACCACTATGTCTAAAATGCAGAATCACAAAAGAAAAGAATAAAACATTGGGGCCATGCACTAGATCATGTTCACCAACAAATTACCTAGAGCTTGATTCACGCAGGCGACTTTGCTGTACCACTGAAGTGGCTGGACTGATATTGGGAGTGGCACAACGTGAAGTGCTTAGGTCACACTGATCCAAGAGCTTCAGCAGTTCTTCTTCAGTAGGACCACCCACATCTTTGAGAGAGAAACACAGACCGGAGATTATACCAGAGAGAGAAAAAGGTGAGTGAAGAAAATTGTTGAATGGAACAAAGATGTTCCAAACATTTTTGGAATATTTGCAACAGGCTGGCAAAGATTTCTCATTCCCAAGAGTTTTAACAGTAACATTGGTAAAAGTACTCCCTACTGTCTTAAAACAATTATGAGCAACTGGTGTCCCAGATATTATGGCTACAATTCCCATGATCCCTCACCACTAGCTATGCTGGCTTAGGCCTAATGGCCTGCAAGTTGCCTGACCCTGCATGGAATTAAGCTACTAAAATGAAGCAAGCTTGGGATAAGCAGGGGTGAATTTGTATGTGGAAGGACTGTTAAGCTCCGTGTAATTCAGGTACTCAAAATCAATTCCTAGCTCAGAATTCATTTAGATATAAGTATGTATCTTTTGGATCAGATTCCACTTGGCAAATTTGCAGGTTCTAGTGAAAAGCAAAGAAGGATGCACAAGCCTGAATTTGGCTGCTTTCTGCATTCTGCTTTCATGAACAAGTCAAAACGGGAGTGACTACACAGAGGCAAGAAATGTGCCATTCTGTGGGATGTTAATGCAGAAGATGGACTACACCGGACAGCTACCTTTCTCTTCACTTTTGTTAACCATATCCATTGCCGTGGTCAGGTCCCACATCTGAATACTTCCATTCACATGCCCTGTGAAGAGGTAGCGTCGTGGCCGTGAGCCCATTCTGCTGGATCCCTCACATTCTCGTACGGTGAATGATGATATTGTAGTACAGTCCACTGCCTGAATTTCACATATCCTACATGGGAGTTAGCACAACAGCATGGTCACAAAATCAGAAAAATAAAAGGCTGTCCCACATATTTACTACTTGATTTAAATAGCTTTCATGTTCAGGTTGCAAAATGCTATTAAAACTCAAATCATAATAATTTCACTTGAAGATTAAAACAAATGTGGCATTAAGTCCCTTAATACTCATTCTCTGGGAAGTGTGTTCAAATTAATGAACTTGAGATATGATACTTTTCTTACCACAGAATGTGACACACATATCCAATTCCACAAGAGTCTGGTTTCAGTTATTCCAATAGTTAAAGGTTACAAGTGTTGCTATACAAGCCTAGAACCAATAGGGCAACAATCATGGAAGAGGAAAGAGCCCAAGGGTCTTCATGGAGCTCCACCTTCCTCAGCCAGAAGCCATGGATTGCAGTGTGCTCACGCATCCCAAAAGAAGGACAGGGCAGGACAGTCTTGCAGTGTGCGCTACTGCTGTTGTTGCTTTGCTATAAATGCTGCAACTTGCAGCTTCGGCTACATCAACACAACTGCAATTCCCCCCCCCCCCAGCTACTATGGGATGTGTCTTTCTGAATTCTTTACTCTATAACATGTTAGACATTCTCCACACCATCCCCACAAAGCTTAGAGACTTTTGAGAAAAGGTCCAGAATTACTGCAGTTTAGTAATGCAGATCCATCTCCTTTTAGTACAGAGTTGATTGTCCCACAGCAGTTTGGGAAGAAATGCATAAGGATATATAACATCTGAATGCACCCACAAATTGGTGTCATGGGAACAGATAACCAACACAATTATTTTGAGGACAAAATGGATACACATGAATGCAGGTTTAATTAACATGTAGAATGCACAGGTTGATTGGACTATGCCTGTGGTAATCAAAGTGAAGAAGGCAAACAGAAAGAGGTCAAAGTTGAACAGGCTTTGCATTATTACATTAATGTTTACCCTAATACAACACCCATTTTAATAAACATGTGGCAGTTTCTTCCTGTGCATGCACAGAACATTAAATCATAGTGATTTATAACATTTATTGGGATGATAATTTGGCCTCCAACCATATTAAAGGCTTCTAATGTTATTTGCTTAAAAACAAACAAGCTGTCAAAGGGATAATCTAAGTGCTTGAAAAATATACTCTTGATTAATTTCTCTAACAGTTGCTTATGATTGTACGTAATGAACTTTGATGCACAGAAGATTGATTCTCTTAAAGAGGTTTATTCATTATAAGATTAAGCAATAAGAAAAGATAGACCATGTGTTATAGATACTGTGTGCTGGTGGAATCTTATTAGCGGCCATGGTTGTACTAGCAGTTTCAATTTTAGAACAGTGCTATTTTCTTTAACTAGTATCCAGGGCTTTCAAAAACACTTTAGCTGCTGTTTCCACATCTTTGGATTTCATTTATTTTAAACGGCTAGGCAACATATCATATTTTTAATGAAAGGTAGCAATACACACTAGCATATGGGAGGAACAGAAGAGAGCTCTAAAATAAGGGATATAATTAAATGCCCATTAAAAAAGTGAAAGTTAAAAGCAATCTTGCCTGTATGTAAACTATGGTTGTAAAACACATCTTTTACTCTTATGAGATAAGCCAAGACCCAAACTGATTCTTTGTCCTTCTATACCCTTGCATCCAGATTCTCAAACATTCAAAATTTCTCTGAAACATTCCTGTCACCATATATATCCATTTTAAAGACAGGTAAAGCATTTGTGGAGATCACAAAGAATTACAGTCCTGTGCTCTAGAAAGCAGCATACTGTGACCCCCACTCCTTTTCCTTTTTCATTGTGAAGAAACTAATGGCTGCAGGACAGATGTGGAAAATAGAGGGCATTTAGGAATGATGTGCAGCAGAATCCAGAGGCAACGAACAGCCACGAGCCCGAATGCTACTGACAACCAAAGTTACACACTTGTTTTTACACACAGGGTTGGCCTTGACCTCATGCAGAGAAGTACTGTGCATAATTTGACAGCATATGATCTTTACTACAAAAAACAAACAAGTGGTATTTAGGAACCATTCTTGAAATTGCTGAAAGTAACTTTTCCTTCTAGAACAAGATTTGACTAATTTGAGGACATAATGCTATGCTGCAGGCACTTTGTCTCTCCCTCGCCCCACATCAACACTGCCTGTGTACTATGTAAACATGAAAGCACCTGGGCAGCACGATCCATTCTGGCTGCTCACAATGCTCTTAACTTGGAGGATTATGGAAGAGGTATGGAGGCAAAGGCCATCTTGTGCTCCTCCTGCCCTGCAAGGATTTGGATGGCCAATCTGGCCATCCCTGTCTTCTGCGCCTTCTCACAAGGGCACACTGAGGCAGTGGGATACCTTAAGGCCCTGTGGAACACACTCCTATCTTCCCTGATTTCTGAAACATGTCCCCGCCAGTCCCTGATGCCAGCTCCAAGATAAGCATTTTGAGCTCAGAGCCACGGCTCACAGCATGTTGCTTTCTGCACCAGCTCCAAGGGTAGAAGGTCAGCACTTCAAATTTTCTGTGGCTATCTAGATTCTGGTCAGTAGCCAAAGGACTGTGCCCAGAGTGTGCAGCTGGGAGTACAAGTATTCTTACAGCTTCTGTTTTCTTCTAGTAAACTATGGCCCTCTGAAGAAAATGTGTGCACAAGTGTTAACAGCATAGTCTGTTCACGCAGTGGAAATAAATGATGAAACCCAATTTGGGAGTGTGGGTAATGCAGGAAAAAAAGGATGGATACAAGGTACACACTAATTTTCTACAATGCTGTGGGACAACAATCACATGGGCACAGGTACTAAGCACAAGTGCTAGCCTGATGCATGAGAACAACACCATCAGAAGCTTGAACACGGAGCTTTCAAAATTCCCACATTTTATCAAGTACTATGAAATAAATCCATGGTAATACAGAAATTTTGTTTATTATACTTTAATTCAAGGATGACACATTATCACCCCGCTATTCTGAATCTGGTTCCTAGCCAATTCAACAGTGCCAGCCCAAGACTCTTTAAGATTGATAATCCAATACAAATTTTGGTGACATGGCTGAAGCTGGAAACACTAACAAGGGGATCTGGGTTGAGCTGCTAATAATTACTGAAGAGAATTTTCTAGTTTAAAAATCCACCAACCCATCTTACTACTAATTCGCAATTGCAAATTGCAATTAATCATAATGCTTTGCTTTGAACATCTAGCAGTTCTTTTGCTTACCTTTTCCCAGTAGAAGAAAGCCTCACAAAGAGTTTATTAGTGATGGGAACAACTTTTTGGATAAATACCTGTTGATCATCTCGCTCTCCAAAAGGTCCTGTAATTAGAAAACAAGTGAATAGTTCTCATTGCCACAATTTGGTGCTCTCAAACAGTCTTCAAATATTTTGTTAACGTGGCACAGAGTTCTAGTCACACATTTCTAACTTCCACCCATGCTGTCTCAGTGTGGCTTTTCTCAATTCCCTTACAAGCTTGCTGGTCCTACCTGCCTCACTGCCACTGAGCTGCTTCTCATTCCTCCTTGGCTTCCCACCTTAGCACATCATCTCAAAATCACCACCTTATCTTTTGGTAGCTAGATGCTATATTGTTTCTATGCACAGAGTATCTAGATGCTATATTGTTTCTATGCACAGAGTATCCTGTGGCATCTTAAATACTAAGGTATTTTATTCTACCATAGGCTTTCATGCCCAGAATACATTTGTTAAGTTTTCAAAGTGCCACAAGACTGACCTGGTTTGCACATTATATTAACTCATGGTTGTTTACCTACCCTGGAACTGTCTGGTAGACAATCAAATAAATCCATGGTTTGTTTTCTCAATCCCTCAGTTGCTGGTCACCCTCCTCCTTTGCTTGCTTCCCCCCTGTAGCACTATAGTTCTGAGATGTAGAGCAACTGATTTTTTGCCCACTCCCATCCTCCCTTCCATAGTCTGGTGAAACAACTCATGAACAATGCAACAATAGCCCATAGTTTTAAGAACCCAGAGTTCAAAACTTTGCAACAACCATGGGTTCTGTTTCTGGATTGTTCCAGATCAAAAAATCACCACTTCTCCACTCCATCATATTCTTTATTTTTTTTTAAACACTCCAGATTACCTGGAGCATTTTTTAAAATGTAGAGTGAAGTCACCTTTCCCAAGTGCATGTAATGGGCAAAAGACCACTATAACTGGTAAAGGATCTGAACAGTTACATGACTGATAAACAAATTCTTGGACAAGTCTCAAGGCAGCTGCTTCTTCCAATTGTCCAGCAAGGGTGAGACTTGGCCATATCCCATTTCTCTGGGGCACTGTAAGACAGGAATGCCCAATTAAAGCATGGAATAGCCACCCCCTGTTGTGCTTGCAATGCTGCAACTACCTATATCATTTCCAGAAGAGTAACTGCCATGACTTTCAGTCTCTTCCAAGGACAAAATTTTAAATGATGCCAAGGGAGTGGATCCTGGCTGTGTTGAAATCATTCCTCGGAAACGTGTCACTGTCCATGTCCGAACATGATTGTTATCTGCACAAACTAGAAACAATACAAAGAATATTTACAAAAGATGCCACTTTTATCATTCTAAGCTATTTAAGATCTAAACCTCAATGTTTTCGAACAGTGGTGCTAAATTTCCAGACCTACACTTTAGTCATTTCTATAGCCTCTTTAAGAATACATCTGGAAAGGTAGTTAAATGCAAACCCGCTGGAAATGGTCTATGGCTCCCACAGCTATTTCCCAGGAGACCTAAGCAAACTATAGTTTATTAAAATCTGTTAAAATCAAATAAAGATAATTCTCACCCCATACACTGTCATTAACTGATTTTATACGTCTGGTCTATTTTAATTAGGGGTGTGCACTGACGAGATTTGGGAAACAGCTTGCCTCAGATCAATTTGAAGGAAATCCATTTTGATGGGGTTCAAAGTAGAATTGTAATTTAGAGAAGTGCAGTTTTGCCCCTCCCCTTCTGTATCACTGGAAATGACTTAGTATGACAGAATTTAATTAAATTTGAAATATATTTTAAAAAGCAAACTGCCCATAACAGTTTTATATCTTGACAGAATTGAATGAAATTTTCAGACACGTTTATCCATTCTAAGAAGAATAAATATGCCTAATTTTAAATAAAGAGGAGCAGAACTGTTTGTGAAAGATCAGACTTCACAGTTTGGGGATTTCCACAAAAGGAAATACCTGAATTATAATGAATTTTATAGTAGCCAGATACTTCATGCAGTCAGAAACAAAACATTTTCAATGAACTGGGCTGAATTCAACAATATGCATACAGCATTCAATTAATGCAACAGAAGTTCATTTCTCTTCCTCATTCCTACACACCCAAAAATCTGTTCCATGGAGTCCCCTAAACCTCCATGGAGAAGATTTGGGACACATGGAGAGCTGAAGCAGGATGTCAGATGCAGTCTGCTAGGAGTGTTGTCCATTCTGCTGGAGGAAAGAACAATAATAGCTACAACCCACTAAGTGATTGTATGGACACACACACTGCATGTTCATTCTCTTCACCTTTCTCTCTGCATATACATGGATAGGGTCTTGTTCTTTCCACCACTTCCCATTCCAGGCAGGAATAGCCTCTGCCAATAGAAGCTACCCAGCAATTGCCAACTCTCCATCTAGCACAATTGTTTTTGAACCTTACTCCGCCATACCACCACTGACTTCTCTACTTTCTTCTACTAGTTGCTTCCATGCAGTCAGTCTTTCTGCGTTCTACATCAGAAATTTTGCTTGACTAGAAGGTGGGAAACTTGCTTTATTCCACAAGATGCCCCCCACACCTTTTCAACATTTTGTTGTGATACAACCTGGAATGGAAATAGATTTAACTGGCATTGTTATCACTTGATGGACACAAGACTGTGAAGCTGCAAAATATTTTATCAAGGTTCAAAAGCTAAGTAAACAAAAACAAACCTCAACTTGCTGGTTGCATAAATATTCACCCCCTTTGCTGTGACATGCCTAAGAAAGCTCTGGTGCAACCTATTATCTCCAGAAA